AGAAAGAGAGAGAGAGAGAGAGAGGGAGGGAGGGAGGGAGGGAGGGAGTTGGAGAGGGGGAGAGGGAGAGAGGGAGGGAGGGAGGGAGAGGGAGAGAGAGAGAGAGAGAAGAGGGAGAAGAGAGAATTGTAAAAAGGCCCTGAATAAAACTGAAGCAGGAAGAGCTCCGGTGTGTCGCGTCATCCTTGTGGGACAAGGCTGTACGTGACATCCTTCACCTGCTTTTGGGACTCTGAAATGCATGTTTGATGTTATTGTTACCATGTATGGAATTGCTAACTTGCCTGTATATCTACAAACTGAAAACCTCGTGAGAATGGCCTTTTCTTTCTTCTTCCCCCAAGGAATAGAGAAACATGCAGGAAGAACGTGTTTGAGTCAGCCAGCTTGTTCTACACCACAGATTCCTCTCCCTGGCCAGTTTTCCCTTGCCGAGACATCCTGCTCTGGACACTAAGAAGTTTAATGAGCTTAACCCCAAAATCAACCTCGATAGTTTAATGAGCTTAACCCCAAAATCAACCTCGATAGTCTTTTATTTGGGCTTTCATGGATTTACATACTTCTGCCTACAATTGGCATCAACATTTGGGACAACCCAACAGTCTACAGCCCGCCCACTTGGCCCACCACCCACTTCAGGTGTGGTGCTTTGAAATTCCTGTTCCACAGCTAAGGAAGAAATAATTGGAAATAGGAATCACCACATATATATCACATCAGATCCCATAAATGTATATGTGTGTGTGTGTGTGTGTGTGTGTGTGTGTGTGTATCACATCAGATCCCATACGGTTCTGCCAGGTCCTCTAATAAAGGTAATGATGAAATTAATCAGTTATTAATAGGAAGTGTTCTGCAGTCCTCAAAATTTCATTAAAAACACCAAGTCAATAATAAAGGTTAAAAAAATGATTTTTCTATCACTTGGCAACAAACCAAGAAAATTGTAAACCATGTCCTACTTGTTCCTTCTATAACCAACATGAACAACATCAAACAGTTTAATACCTGCTTTACAAAAGGTGAATGCACGCCATATGAGACTATTACTTCCTTAAATCTCCTTAAATCTAACATTTCCACAGGATTCCAGTGAAGGATTAAACAGCCTTGAGTCATTCTCATACCTTTGGTCCCAGCACTTGGAAGGCACACAACTTTAATCCCAGCACTAGAGAAGTGGAGACAAGCTCCCCTGCATTCAGTCTAAGGATTCCTAGGAAAGGGATCGCCCATTTGGTCTGAAGATTCAGTAGGGGTAAAAACTAGGGGCTGGCTACTCTGCTTCTCTGATCTTTCAGCATTTACCCCCTAATAGCTGACTCAGGGTTTTTATTATTAAGACCAAATAGAATTCTCGCTACAATCTGGATAGGAGGGGATGAGGGGAAGAACTGAGAAACTCTAATTTGGATGTATTATGTGAGAAAAAAAATCTATTTTCAGTAAAACTGGGAAAAATACCATTCAAGGAGCCTCGGTCGTTTTCAAAGCAGTTTGGTTTAATTTGGTAACAAGGTCTCATTATAAATTTAGCATAATAAAAAAATGATAAAAATAGAATACTCATTTTCACTACTGCAGTTACCAGAACTGACAGTGAATTCTCTTATGTTTTGTATTGTTTCTGCTTGTTTTTAAGACCAAATCTCGTGTTGTATGAAAGGAGAGAAGGTTAGCACTCCCCTTGACAAGGATGGAAGAGGCCATTGGGTCTAACAACACGCATACGGTTAAGGCATTGCCACCTACTTCGTGGCATCTAACCACTGTTTTTGGGCACAGGAGATCGCTTCCTATGTATAACCCCAGCAGCACAGACATTATAAGGGCAACATTGAATAAATGGGACCTACTGAAACTGAGAAGCTTCTGTAAAGCAAAGGACACTGTCACTAAGACAAAAAGGCAACCTACTGACTGGGAGAAGATCTTCACCAACCCCACAACAGACAAAGGTCTGATCTCCAAAATATATAGAGAACTCAAGAAACTAGACTTTAAAATGCTAATTAACCCAATTAAAAAAAATGGGGCACTGAACTGAACAGAAAATTCTCAA